TTATCTTGCATGACTTGAGAGTTGGTTTCTTACCAAATCCTATTCAAAAATGACCTGCTTCAATAAGTGAATGCACAATTTTGTTAATTTGCTAAAAATAATGTTTTCACTCCCCTGCTGTTATTGCAATGGCTCATCAGATAGCATTCCTTTTTGTTAAATCAGCAGTCTCTTCAACCACAATTCATCCATTAATAGATTTTAACAAGTTGACAAATTAATTTTCAGTTCACACATGAACCAAAGATCCTAATATAGGGTCAAGTCTAATTTCATTCTAAAATTCTAAACTGGAAATCATCAGGAAACAGTAGTAAACAGGTATCATTGAAATTTCATTAGGATTTCACTAAGGCAGCTATTTTCTAATTGAAAAATTTTGAGCCAATCAAGGTGAACCTTTCTCAACCAATTCCACCCCAATGGACTTGGGCCCGAGCCTCTTACTACCATCAGCGGGAGCTGCACCTGCTGCCTCTTGTAGGAGACCAGAACAGAAGTCATACTGTTAATCTGTAACGGTTCCCCAGCATACGTTCTCAGTCTGGCTGAGGTCTTGCACAAACCTGAGGGTTGAAGTCCTGAGCGAATCTTATTAAAGACAGGCTCTGCAACCGCAGATACAGCTGTATTGACCTCCATGAGAACCGGGTGACCAATTAACCAAACATTAATTTTGTTTGGTGCTGATTTGGATGTTGTTAAGCAATTTAACTGTTCCAACCCACATGTAGGGGAACTTTCCAGGGTGGGCACTCTCCGGATACCAGCCTACCAGTTGTCTTACTCACGTCAGGCCTTGTAGGACTCCTTTGCTGTCTCCACTCTGCATAATGGCAGCAACTACAATGGCTTGCTGGCCCAGATCCTGAAGAAACTTTTAGCCATTTGGCTGAGGCTCGGCTTTATTGCGGAGTTTTGCTGTGGGCTGGCCTAGAGTCCCTCTGCTCAGGATATGCCCTGCATGAGGCTCTGCAATTGCCTACACTCAAGTAGTGTTCCCCAAGTACAGTTGGACAGGTGAGGAATGCCCTGTAGTTCCCATGCTCCACTTGCTGCATTTTGTAATGACAAAGCCAGTTGTAGTGCCTGTTTGAAATCCAGTTGGGCTTTGGCTAGTATGTGCTTTTGTATGGTTATATCATTAATCCCACATACCAAAACATCTCTCAGCATCTCATTCAGTGTTAACCCAAAATCACATGCCTCTGCCAGTCGCCTTAACTTTGTCAAAAATCCCGATACATATTCCCCGGTTCTCGAACAGCCAAATGAAACTGATAGCATCTCAGAATTAGAGCAGGTTTGGGGTTGTAATATTCCTTAACCAAATTTGTCAACTCTTGGAAGGTTTTAGAGTCTGGTGCCTCTGGGAAAGTGAAGCCACTAATAACCGAAAATGCTGCAGGTTCGCAAGCGGTCAGGAGGATTACTCACTGTTTTACATCTGCCCTAATGTCATTTGCCTGGAAAAAAAATTGCATTCTTTCCACATACTGGACCCAGTCTTCAACGGCAGAATTGAATGAATCAAGCTTCCAAAATGAAGGCATGATGTCAGAAATACTTATGCCAACTCAAAGATGACTGTTGCGAGCAAATGTTCCTCAGGAATGTACTGTTTCCTCCCATCGCCACTGAAATAACTGCACAAAAACCAGTATCCCGTCACCAAGTCACCCTTTATTTACATGTACACAACAGCCAGTTCAGAGACAGTCTCTCAAGTGAGGAGATTCTGAATCCCCTTTTTTATTTTTTAAACATTTCTTCAGGCGCGTACTGTTTCTGTTATCACCACTGAAATAACTTAACAGAGGCCGGTATCCTGTCGCCAAGTCATCTTTTATTTACATGTGCACAGTACATTTACCAGGATGTTGTGATAAGGTTAGGGTTAGGAAGGTTTGAGTTATAAGGAAAGACTGGATAGGCTGGGACTTTTTTCTCATCGAGCGTAGGAGGTTGAGAGGTGACCTGAAAGAAGTGTATAAAATGATAAGAGGTATAGATAGAGTTGATGGCAGTTGTTTTTTCCCTAATATTGGAATTTCAAGACTAGGGGGCACATTTTTAAGGTGAGAGAAGACAGATTTTTAAAAGACATGAGATGCAAATCTTTTACCCAGAGGGTAGTTTGAGCATGGAATGAACTTCCTCATGAAGTGATGGATGTGGGTATAATTACAACGTTTAAAAGACATTTGGATGGATATATGAATAGGAAGGGTTTGGAGGAATACAAGCCAGGAGCAGTCAGGTGGGACTGGTTTAGTTTGGGATAATGTTTGGCATGGACTGGTTGGACCGAAAGGTCTATTTCCATGCTCTATGGATCTGAACAGTCAGCTCAAAGCCAGTCCCTAGACTGAGGAGATGTTCCAAATCCCCTGTTTATATCTGTCAGGCAGGGCTCCCTGACTGACCCAGGTGAACAACCCAATCAAGCAGCTTATGGTCAATAAGATCCACCTGGTTATAATTCCTTCAGAATTGTAATTGGATGTCAGATTATTCTTATTAGTGATTTAATGATTCAGTGGATAAATGATTAGTGCAATCATCCCTAGCAGGGTCTCAGATTCATGGAATTACATTCCAACAATGACTTACTATGGCCGTTCTGTGTACCGTAGTAGCCAATTTGTCTTATTATTTGGCATTTGATTTTGGATTGAATTTGGCAAGGTTTCAACCCTGTATCCTTTTGAGTGATTTGCAGGCTCCACCTGAGATAGAAGATGATCCCCCACACCTTTCATGTTTCCTTTGTGTTTCTATCCCTATGTCCCACTTGACCATTCAGCATCCCCAGCCCCGTTTCTATTCAGCCCTCTATATAACTGTTAAAATCTCCAATTTACCTTCTGAGCGTATAATTGATTAATTGTCATGAGCTTGGAGGCCAAAAAATTTCATGCAGAGACCAGAGTGATTTGTGACTTCTGGAAACCACCTTCCCATGCTCCCTATTCTCTCCTGTGCTGTATGAGATCACACTCTTCTAATTTGAACTGTCCCCTTTTACTGTAAGCATTCCCTCAGTGACCTGCTCCAATGAACCCCATTCCCAGTGCTGAGATTTCCCTTTTCCCAAAGACTTCACTGACATGTGTCTGATCATAAATGCCCAAACCCCGACAACTGACCATGACCCACCCCTCAAACTGTCTAAGCAAGACGGCTCCAAATGAGCACAACCCGACCCCCAAATTAATGTCTCCACAGAACCTAAACTGATCCACTGTAAACCCTGGATTGTTGCACTTGACCTGTAAGATTGACTGTAGATCAATCCATAGAGACATAGAAAATTGCAGCAGGAACAGGTCATTTGGCCCCTCAAACCTGCTCCATACCATGTCCACACTTTTTCCCATATTATTTGATCCCTTTAGCCCTAAGGCTGTGAAGACATGGATCCTGGACCACAGTAAACCCAACAAGGTACACTTTGGTGGGGGCGGCTGTAACTAAAATAGAGGATAGACATCATGCCCTGAAGTCATAGAACTCTACAAGAAACCAAAATAACTGTGGATGCTGGCAATTAGAAATGCAAACAGAATTTTCTAGAAAAGCTCAACACGTCTTGCAGCATGTGTGGAGAGAAATCAGAGTTAATATTTTGGGTCCATTGCCCCTTCTTCAGAACCCTTCCTCAGTTGTGAGGGTACTGAACCTGAAACGTTAACTCTGATTTCTCCCCAGAGATGCTGCCAGACCTGCTGAACTTTTCCAGCAATTTTTGTTTTTGTTTTATTTCTTTTTACCCACAGAAACAAGGGTGTGTCTTCAGCAACTTTAGTACAATGGAAATTGCACCCTAAGATAGTACATAAGTATGCCAGCATTCTAGCACACAGAGACTAGGGGAATGAATCTTTTAAAAAAAACTCCCTTTCTTGTGTATTTATGGAAGGGTAAAACACAAATATGTCTTTCATGATTATGATTTCTGAAGAAGAGTCTAGACCTCAAACGTCAGCTTTCCTGCTCCTGTGATGCTGCTTGGCCTGCTGTGTTCATCCAGCTCTAGACATTGTTACCTCAGATTCTCCAGCATCGGCAGTTCCCACTATCTCTGAATATGTCTTTCATCCTTTCTTTCAACTCATATTATGTCTATGGTCTGCGACACAACCTACAGGAGATTGTTTTCTACTGAGAATGGATGATCAGCCCCTCATCGTCTCTGTAGCCACAGTTTTTTTGATTGGCATCTCTCCTTTTGAAGTATTCTCTCTGAATGCCCCTCAGCATTCTTCAAATACACCATTCCACCCCAAAGGGCTCACTACAATCTACTCAGCCACCAAATTTATATCTTTATATTATATTATCTTTTATAATTTACATTATCATTTGACTTTATGTATTTCTTTAAAAAAGGTACATGTTGTACTTAAAAGTTCAATATATCCTTAAGTAACTTGGAAATATGATCAATTGCATCCTCATAATTCCACATGGCAATTTGCACCTGCAATTCAAGGAATATTACTGGCTATAAATGCATCATGTACTTCAATTTAGTGAAGAGACAAAGGAAGCTGGGATTCTCTTTCTTAGAGCAGAGGAGGTTAACGAGAGATTTGAAAGCTTTTCAAACTTATAAACTGTTTGAATAGAGCTGATAGGAAGAAATATTTTCCATTGAGATTGATTAATATCAATTCATATGAAGACAGGAATAAAGTTGCAGAATTTGTTAGCAAACCAGCCAATGAGCTCAGTGTGGATCAAATTAATGTCATCCTCACGTGGTTTAATTCCCGGTTTTAGGTAATGTAATGTTAGGCCCTGCCTCCTCACCCTACCTATAGCAAAAAAAAGGAATGTAACTGTGGTTTGTGAATATTCACCAAGGATTTACCTTCAGGCAGGAAGTTAAGATGAATTTAACAACATACAAGTTGGTTTAAACTGTAAGAACATTGGCGTATCAATCAGTGCAAAGGTATGAGATTTGTTGACTAAACTTAGTGTCTTTGTTTCAGGTTTACAAGTGCCTTGGTGTATCAAGGACTTGTCATGCGTTTGGGAACTCTGGGAGGAAACATCTACCTTGATTTCTTTATCTCAGGAGCTGTGGAAATCCCAGCATCAGTCATTATCATTTTAGTGATTGAACGGATTGGACGACGCCTTCCCTTTGCAGCAGGCGGTCTGGTGTCAGGGGGCTCCTGTTTACTAGTGGTGTTCATACCTGAAAGTAAGTATGATGCCCTGGGGATTCTTATCCAGTTGCACTGTAATGTTGATCTGAGCTTGTAATGTAACAGTAGAAACATCAGACTAATTATATTATAATGTTAATCTGTCATAAATGTAATTCACTAACTATCATGAACATATTTGTTCTGTACCACTTCATATCTCAGGAGCTCAGGATATAGATTCACACTGGTGTATAATAAAATGGGATGCAAATTAACACTGAACTGTATTGGTGAGAAATATACATTAAAACTGGTTTATAGTGATGGGGATTCCAGTTCATACTGGTCAGTAGCATTGAGGAATTAGGAAGGTTCAAACTGGTCTCTTGAGATGAGGATGCATGTTCACACTGGTCTAAGTGATAAGAATACAGGTTTGCACCAATCTGCAGTTGTGGATATAAATTCATATTGGTTTGTGGAAATGAGGATACAGGTTCAATCTAATATATACAACCTAAGAAAAAAGGTTAAGCTGATCTGCATTGGTGAGAATACAGGTTCACACTGGGTTGTGCAAGCTCAGAATACAGGTTAACACTGGGTTGTGCAAGCTCAGGGTACAGGTTAACACTGGTTTGTAATGGTGAGGATACAAGTTAACACTGGTCTATGGAATTGAGGATAGGGATCAATGCTTGTCTGCGCAAGTTCATGATACAGGTTAGCAATCATTGATACAAGCTCTTGGTACAGGGTCACATGATTTGTGGTGATGAATTTACAGATTCACTCTGACCTGTGCAAGCTCATGATACAGGCAAACTCTCGACTTATTCAAGCTCAGGATATAAGAATTCCTAGAGATTGTGCAGATACATTTTCTACAGCAGTATGTTACCAATCCAACAAAAAGATGGGACTGCTAGGTCTGGATCTTGGGTCTGAGGTGAGCTAAGTGACAGTTGGGAATATTTAGGTAACAGTGATCATTGTACCACAAGGTTTAGATTGACTATGGAAAAGGACAGGGACAATCCACAGTAAGAATACGTAAATGGGATAAAAGCAAAGTTCAGTGGGGTAAGAATGGATCAGGGCCAGATAAATTGGAATAAGAGGCTGGCAGGCAAAACGGTAACTGAAAATGGGTGGCCTTTAATCAGCAACTAGTTTGGGCACAGTCAAGGTGTATTTCCACAAAGGGGAAAAGTAGGCCAAACAAATTCAGAGCTTCCCGGGTGACAAAAGAGATAAATATGAAGTAGAAACAACGTGCTAATGACATACATCAGATGCTTGAAACAACAGAAAACCAGGCTGAAAATAGGAGGTTCAGAGGGAAGTGAACAGAAAATAAGCAAAGCAAAGAGAGAGTGTGAAAAGAGAGTGGCAGCTAACATAAAAGGGAGGCCAAAAGTCTTTCATAGTTATATAAATTGTAATAGATTGGTATGTGAGTGAGTGGATGATTGGGGACCAAAAGTGAGACTTACGCATAGGGACGTGGTTGAGGTATTAAGTGAATGCTTGGCATTTAACTTTACATGGAAGAAGATGCTGTTTAGGTCATACTGAAAATGGAAGTAATTCAGACACTTGAAGGGTTGAAAATCTGGGAAGAATTAAAAATCTGGGAAGGTAGAGGAATTAGATAGGCTGTCAGTATTTAAAAGTTGATAAGGTGAAAGACATATATCCAAGAATACTGGGGGAAATGAAAGTTGAAATTGTGGAAGCACTGGCTATAATTTTCCTCTCTTCGTTAAACTCAAAGGTGGTGCCAAAGAACTGGGTAATTGCAAATATAACATCCATGTCCGTAAAGGATCTAGAGATAAGTTTAGCAACTACAGGTCAGTTAATTTAACCTCAGGAACGGGGAATCTTCTCGAAAGAGTAATATAACTCATGGAATAAAAGGGACAGACATGGATATAAAATTAGTTGTGTGACAGGAAACAGAAAGTAATGGTTAATTAATGTTTATTAGGACAGGAATAAGGTTTATAGTGGAGTTAGGACACTTATTCTTCCTGAAATTTGTTAGTGATCTAGACATTGGTGTACAGGGCACAATTTTAAAATTTGTGGATGATATGAAACTGGACAGCATTATGAAATGTGAGGATAGAACAGAATTCAAAGGACACAGACAGGTTAATGGAATGGGAAGACAAATGGCAGATGAAATTTAATGCAGAGGTGTGAACTGATTCATTTTAGTAGGAAGAACTGTAGAGAGACTGTAAAATGGTACATTTCTAAATTGTATAGGAACAAGAGTCCTGGGTGTATACATGCATAACTAATTGAAGGTAGCACAACATTAATCTGTAACAGTGATGATACAGATTCAATCTGATTTGCTCAAGCTCAGGTATCGGTTAGCATAGGGTCTAAAGTGTTGAGGACTCAGAATAATTATTGTTTGCATTTGTGAGCACACAGATTCACACTAGTCTGTAGAAGCTCAGGATGTCAGTTAATACTGTTTGTAAAATTGAGGCTTCAGATTAACACTGATCTATAGAATTTAGGGTACAGGTTAATGTTAATCTATACAAGTTCAGTGTACTAGTTCATGCTGATTTGAAATTATGAAGATTAACAGATTGAAATTATGAAAATTATGAAATTTATAGGTCACGGTAGAAAAGGGACAGTAGAAACATAGTTACAATATTGGCTGCATGATAAGAAACAGAAAGTAATTGTCAACGGATATTTTTCAGGCTGGAGAAAGGTTTGTAGTGCAGTTCCCCAGTGTTCATTAATGGGACTCTTGCTTTTCCATATGTAGGTTCATGATCTGGACCTTGGTATGCAGGAGACAATTTCAAAGTTTGCAGATGACGCTAAACTTGAAGAACCGTAAATTGAGAGGAGGACAGTGTGTAATCCAAAAGGACACAGACAAGTTGATGGAGTGGGCAGACTGGTGGCAGATGAGGTTCAAAGCAAAGAAGTGTGAGGTGATGCATATTGGTCAGAAGAACATTGAAAGACAATATAAAATAGGAGGTACAATTCTGCAGGAGTGGATGGACCTTGCTGTGCACATGCACAGATCATTGAAGGTGGCAGGACAGGTGAAAAGTGCAGTTAATAAAGCATATGGTTTTCTTGGCTTTATTAGTAGGAGCATGGAGTACAAGAGCAGGGAGATGATGTTGAACTTGCACAAGACACTTGTCAGACCTCTGCTGGTGCACTGTGTACAGTTATGGGCCCACATTATACGAAAGATGTGAATGCACTGGAGAGATTACAGAAGCAATTTACAAGAATGGTTCCCGGAATGAGAAACTTCAGTTCTGAGGAAGTTGGGACTGTTCTTGAAGTGAAGAAGGCTAAAAGGAGATTTGATAGAGATTTTCAAAGTCATGAGTAGGCTCAATAGACTGGATAGGGAGAAGCAATTTGTTCTCATAAAAGAAGAGAACAGAATTGCATAGAACTTAAAGTGATATTCAAAGAATCAAGGATGATGTTAGAGTATGGAATGCACTACCTGGAAACGTGGTGGAGGCAGGTTCCATTGAAGTATTTGAGAGGGCAGAGGATAATTATCTGGATAGAAATGGTGAGCAGACATATGGGGAAATAATAGGAGATTGGCACAAGGTTATAGACTGATGCAGGCACAATGGGCTGAATGGCCTTCTTCTGCACCATAACAATATTGGTAAGAATATCTTCAGTCAGAATCAATAATGTCTCTCTTACATTATGGGGGGTAATTGTGTGATTAAGGATAATGTAGTGAATGGAATGGCACTGAAATAAATGAGCTTCATAACTGATTGTACGTCCAACATATTGAAAATACTTTAAGAATGCTTAAAATCACCAACCAAGTCCTATTTGAAAGTTGCATCTTACGTAATCAACATGCTTAAATACCTTCACCATCTGTCAACATCTCACCGTCCCCACCATCAACATCCTGTGGAGAAGTCATCAAGGACCAGAAACTTAACTCAATCAACTAAGAAATGGCATAAACCATACAAGGCATAAACCAGGAGTGCAATGGAATACTCTCCACTTTCCTGGATGAGTATAGCTCCAACAACATTCATGAAGCTTGATAATATCGAGGAAAAAGCAGTCTATATGATAAGCATTCTACATCCCACCCTAAATTTTATTCCTCACTGATACACTTCATTGGAATGAGTTTGAACCAACAATTTTATGGCGTTAATTTAGTTTGTCCTCTACAGTTTTCTAAATTCTGCTCTCTAAAATCCCATGTGTTTCTGATTTTCTTCTCTTGAAGTTTTACTGTTTAATGTAAATATTCACTGTGGCTTTCTCCTGGAAGGCATCATCTCCCATTTCTCCAAATTAATTTTCATCTGCCATCTAAATACCCAATTTATTAACTTCTCTATATCTCCTTGAAGTCATGTATCAGTTAACCATGCTCCCTATTTTAAAACCTTAAGTTTTTCTTTAACTACTACAATCCCGATTATGATACTTTGGAAAAAAAAGGTCCCAACATTTATTAGAGGAAAGGACCAATGTCCATATCCTCCTATTTCAAGAACACTAATTAATAACTGCATTATTTTTATTCCTTTAATTTTCTATCTGAGCTGTCACATTACTTTCAATGCTGTGTGTCTTAATCTTATTAATCCCCAATGTGGCAGCTTACACCAGTTGAAAACCCACTTATTTGTGGATTATTCACAGATACACAATATCTACATATTTTCCTTTATCAATGTACTGATACTTCTTCAAATTTATTAGACACAACTTGCTTCTCACAAACTTAAGTTTAATTAACTGACCTCCTTGGAACTGAGTGATTTTGTTTAACTTGGCAAAATAAATAGCAAACTAGTGAAATATTTGGATGGTTTTCTCAGAATTATGTTTTGCAAATTGTAAATTTATTTTTCAATTCAGATTTAACTTGGCTGAAAACAGCAGTTGCGTGCTTGGGCAGACTGGGGATAACTGTAGTTTTCGAGATGGTCTGTTTTGTAAACACGGAGCTATATCCTACATTTTTACGGTAAGTACAAAATAATTTAAAGGAAAACCAGTAGCCTTTATATCCAGCATGAGTCAAATCATTTTGCCAGGAATTAAATTCAATTTTAACAGTTAGATTTATTGACAAGTACTGCAAATATCAAAGCAAACTTGCAAGCGTTCAAATGTGGAAAATACTGTTTTAGAATTGATTAATTATGCATCCCTTTGTGAAGATTTAATATGAAGGTAGTAACATCACAATCCAGGTATTTTACTTAATATAGAACATAGAAAAGTACAGCACAGGAACAGACCTTTCAACCCACCATGTCTGTAAAGACAATACTGCCATTCTAAACTAATCCCATCTTTCTGCAAATGGTCTATATCCTTCTATTCCCTGTCTGTTCATGTGACTATCTAAACACCTTTTAAATATTACTTCCATACTTGCTTCTACCACCTTCCCTGGCAGCGCATTCCAGGCACCTACCACCCTTTGCATAAAAAACTTGCCTCGCACATCTCCTTTAAACTTTACCCCTCTCATTTTAAATCTATGCATCCTAGTATTTGACATTTGCACCCTGGGAAAAAACTCAGACTGTACATGCTGTCCATGCCTCTGATAATTTTATATACTTCTATACCCATTCTTCATCTCATTAGCCTCTGACACATGGCAAAAACAATCCAAATTTGTCCAACGTCTACTTATAGTTAGTACACTCCAATCCAGGCAACAACCTGATCAACCTCTTTTGTTCCCTCTCTGATGCGTCCACCTCCTTCCTATAGTGTGGCGACCAGAATTACATGTAACACTCCAAATGTGGCCTAACTAAAGTTTTGTACAGCAACATGCCTTGCCAATTTTTATACTACATGCCCTGACCAATGAAGGCAAACATACCATATGCCTTCTTTACCATCTTATCCAATTGTGCTGCCACTTTCAGTGAGCTATGGACTTACACCCCAAGATTTTTCTGGATATCAATGCTCCTTGTAGTCCTGTCTTTTACTGTACAGCGCATCCATGGACAGATTGGTGGCTGTCATGAAGATCCAGGCCCAGCACCTTCACTGGCTGCTGTAAAATGCACACTTGCACTTCATTACCACCCATTGGTCCCCGGCACTGGGGGCACGTGACAAAGAGCAGCCAGGAAGCACTCAGCCAGAGGTGGAACCACACACAGACTCCTCTGCACGTCACTTGGGTGTGCATGTCCTCTATCTCCACCCTGTCTGTCCTCCTCCAACCTCTGGACATTGACACAAAGTACAGTCTTCATGCCTTTGGCAAGAAGACGCTCGCATGTCTGCCCTGATAAACACAACTGTCACTGGGCTGGCCCCACCAAACCTCTAGGGTCAATGTGCTGAGCAACTGAGTAGTTGTTCCCTCCATCCCAGCTGCTGAACCAGAACCAGGCAATACACTAAAGCATTGTGGGAGTGAAAGAACAAAACATGTTGAGGGCACTTTGGTGGCACAAGTGATAAAGGCCTGTCACACTCAGTTCCTGCATAAATGTTTCTAAGAACCAAGAGCATTTTCACACCATCCAGCAGCACCACATAGCCACAGAGAAAGTCCAGGAATGGAGGTCTATCCTGAGACCCTACCGCATCATCTGGAAACAGGAGGAGCAAAGCATACCCATAGCACTAGTTCACAGTTACACTTTGTCCCTCCTCATTCAACATTATTAATTTTTGGTTTTCTCACTCCACAAAGATGTAGCTGTCAAAGAATTGTCCAGCAGTGCAGTGCAATAAAAGTGTAAGATACAGAGAATATGTAGGATGGCCAGGGCATAGGCAGTCCATGTGCGTACATTACACTGGTTTGTGATCAATGTTCTTCCTCTTTAAAAGCCTTATGATCAGTTTTTGCTGCAGTCCCCTCCAATACAGTTTAATTCACTTACTCTGCCCACTTAAGAGTGTTCTTTCAGCCATTTTCTTCACCATTGCGCACGTCGGATCTCTGACCTGGAACACCCCAACCGGATGCTTGACTGTGACAATTCCATTGAATGGTTTGGGAGATTGGTACGGAAGGCTACCCCATACTTACTGTGCCAGAACCCCTGACTGACACGTGCCTCCATGGACTTCAGTGAGGACTACACCCCTAAGACTTATAGACATGGTTGCTTGCTTGCTGCATGTGCAGTTGGTATGTAGGCTGCTGGTGCAGGTGTGAGATTGATGTAACACACTGCCATTCAGCAAGGTGTGTATGCCCTCCCCCCAACCCCACCCAGACTGAGGATGCTCAGCAGCAAGGCAAGCTGTTTGTTTTGTGATTGAGCTAATTAGTACAACAAGCACGGCAAGGCACGGATGCTGTCAGCATGCAGGAAGTCGCTAAGCAACTAGGTGCTTAAAAAAAAGCAAGCATTCCAAAATGCGGCCTAATTCAGTCTGCAAGTTGCCCCTGCGCACAAAGTGCCTCAGCTGCAGCCTTTCAATGTTAGTTTCTAGTGCACCCTGCAATGCACTGCCAGTGCAAAGTAGAAGTGCCAGGATGGTTACAATCAATTTTCGCTCTCCAAGGATTTGCACATATTGATTGGCATGCCATCGCTGCTTGCAGCATGGACTTCTGGTTTCAGAAGATGCTGCCATGCATGGATGTTGAAGATCTGCGCAGGGGAAGAAAAAAGAATGGGAGAACTGGCTGTAATGAGTTGGCAGATGCCAGATTCCAATGTCCATGGAGTGGGGTTGAATGCATTTTGTGCCAGTTAAATGTGCCCTAGGGTCTGGTTTAGTTGCAAGCAACATGGTCATTCAGAGCAAATGGTGAGCTGAATCCATTTTGGCTTCCTTTTCATGTTTGCCCGACATCTAGCTTGTTCGGCAATTTTGATAAGGTGCAAGGCTCAGTATTAATGAGGCAAGCTGTGACCTTAAAAAGTCATATAACATGTGGTGATCCCTATCAATTGACTTCTCATAGCTACCTAGCAAAAACCTTGCCATACTACCTGTGCAAAGTATAAAAGATGGAGTGAGATGATCTTGACATTGAGATGAGTGTCATTGGACTTCTTATCTGATTCTACCACAAATCTAATTCTTTTCTCTTCCCATGGATGTTAGCAGACCTGAGCAACCAACATTTTCTGTTTCCATTTCAGATTTCTAACATTCCCTGTTTTCTGTGTTTCAATTTATATTTATTTGACCCCTTTACCATAATGAAACACCTCAAATCACTTCATAGAGGTATGAGGAAACAAAATATAACACCCTAAGCCACATAGATAGGTTTTAAGGAGTATCTTAAAAGGGAAAATCAGGGTAGAGAGGCAGAAAGTTGAAGAGAGGGAATAGAGCTTATGGACTAGGCAGTTGAAGGCATGACCACCAGATGTGGAGCAATTAAAATCAGGAATGCTGTAGAGGCCAGAATTAGCAGGATGTTACCGGGACTGAAGTGTTTGAGTTTTGAGGAGAGGCTGGATATGCTGGGACGTTTTTTCCCTGGAGCGTAAGATGTTGAGGGGTGATCTCATAATGGTTTATAAAATTATGAGGGGTGTAGATAAAGTGAATAGCCAAGGTCTTTTCCCTAGGGTAGGGAGTTCAAAACGAGAGGACATATTTTTAAGTTGAGAGGGGAAGGACTTGAGGGACAACTTTTCACACAGAGGGCGGTGTTTATATGGAATGAATTGCCAGATGAAGTGTCAGATGTAGGTACAGTTACAGCATTTAAAAAACCATGCAGACAGGTACATGGAAAGGAAATGTTTAGAGGGATATGGGCCAAATGTAGGCAAATGGGACTAGTTTAGTTTAGGAAACTTGGTCAGCATGGACAAGTTGGTCCAAAGGGCCTGTCTCCATTTTGTGTGCCTCTAATGACTCTATCTCGCCATAACTCATGTTGATCAGATTCATGTAAAATTCCATCTGTTAGGTGCTATTACAAAGGGAAACTTTTTTTGGCATCCACTCTGCTAAGTAACTTCAAGGACTTGTAAGCCTCAATAAAATCATGTCTCATTCTTGTAAACTACAAAGCCCAAGCTTTCCTCAGACAACTTCCCCAACCACATCCTAACTACCAGTGAAATGAATCTTCTTTTGACTGCTACAAATACTTACACTTTTACTTTCCCCATATTTTTAGGCATCCCATCTACTACTAACCCTGAATCCTGCTATCCCACTGCTTCCTCATAAACATTGGGGCCAATGATTCTATGATTTGGAAGTGTTCCCATCATTATTTGTTCAGTCAGACATAAACTGTCTTCAAATTTTCTTGTCAAAAGTAACATTTCTGATGTGATAGTTAGAATTCAATTTCAGAATAACTCAAAATTTCTGTGTCTGAGTACTCAAATTAATATTTTTACCTCAGGCCTAGGGTCCAAACTCATGACAGTCCAGAGTCCAGGCTGATGATCAATCTGGGGTTTGAGTCGGTGTCAGTCTAGGGTCCATGTCGATGTCAGTCTCGGGTCAACGTCAGTCCAGAATCTGAATCAATGATCTGGGAGCCAAGTCAATGCTTGATCTGTGGTCAGAATCAATGCTCACTCTGGGGTCTGTGTTGATGCTCAACCTGGGGTCTGAATTATTGCTCAGTCTGTCATCTGAGTCAATGTTTTATTTAGAGTTATCATTTTGCCAGCTGAAGAGATTTAACAAATAGACTCCTCCCTCAGCTTTGAACATGCAGAAGCCTAATAATGTGCTTTGTGAAGAGTCTCACAGCATCACTCTCTTAGGTATTTGTTCAATTGCTAGAACCCCTGTCTCAATTTCCTGGGAGCCTCCTGTCATTTAAACAGAGTTTAATGAATTTCCAATCAGCTTCCTAGATTATTGCTGGAGCAGGAAAGTAGATTTAATCCCACAAGATCAAGAAATATTTGGGAAAGGAAACTTCCTAGTATAAACAAAACTGGAAATTGCTGAGTCTCTCGAGCATTTTCTGTTTTTGTTTGATTCAGATTTTCAACATTTGCGATTGTTTTAATTGGCTCCTCTCAGTATAGAGTCGTGTCATGGTTACAGCAAAGTAGGTCCAAAATTCACACAGATAATCAGGTAACAAAGCAAATTACATTTGTGTCATGATTTTGGAAATGTGAACATGCAAGCCTCATAAGGTTGAGGATATAAACCATTATATTCTCTATCAGGAACTTTGCTGTTTCTGCGTGTGGAGTGCTATGTGACATCGGAGGAGTTGTTTCCCCTTTCATCGTGTATAGGTTGGCTGCTATCTGGATTGAAATGCCTCTTGTAGTTTTTGGTGAGTATATTGAGCTTAGTTTAAGCCTTTGTCACAGGCAATCATTCCATTATGTGAAAGGTGTACCCTTAGACATGTGACAAATCCCAAATTAATTCTTTTTAGTGGTTTCCTCAATGCTTCTTTTCTTCGCCTCTATTTTTCTCATCTAGTGAACCAAACACAAACAGGGTTGTTTTGATTCTTAGGCTGTCCACATGTCTGCCACAGTCCAAGACTGGATGTAAAATTCAAGCTGTGTGTTGGGATGGCAATGCACTGACATCCTTGGGAATTACCAGGATGTTTGAACTTCCAATGGGTAATTCACCCAATCCCCAGTCCCCTCTACAAAAATTTCTAAATTAAATTTGGAGACTTCGGACAGTTCTTATCTGGATAGTTACCAGGAAGTGTTAGGGACAATAAAGCCTAGTCAAACTTCTAAGTTACTAACCAGCTGACTTTCCACCCACCCAGGCTACCACTCACACTGACCCCTTTCAGATGATTTTGAAATCTGACCCAAACCAGATAACCCCTGAACTCCCAGCTTCCCCACCAACCCTACTCCCCCCAACACTATACCATCAACAATTACATGACAAAGCCTGCACAACCCTGGACTATCCACCCTGAGAATCCCCCCTTCACCCAAACACCTGCAGTCCATTTACCCACACCACCCTACCCAGATATCATCTCACCCACCTATCCATTCACTAACATTCACACAGGACACTTGAACTTACCGTGTGGCAGATAGTGTTGTAAAAAGAGGGCGTTTCCAGTCAAGTACTGGCATCACAAAGGAGTTCTTTATGGACGCTGCGCTCTGTATTTCTAAAGAAGCCAGGCTCAGAAGACCTGGGGTAGAATGCAAAGCATAATGAGATATTGAAAAGTTTGAGGCCAGCAGTAATATAACGATGATTACAGGTTCATGGAAGATCTGAGCTAATGTTTCATTTGGGGTGGGGAGTGTCTGTCTTGTAATGCACAAAGTTCTGTATTTATGTCGGTACATTGCATAGGCTGCACGGATCAAAGGGTCCATCATTACTCATATATTTGTACCTCTTCCTCTAAAACTCTGCTTCTCTTTTTCTGAATATTTTGTAAGAAAAATTGATTTAAACCATTTTTTTCTACATTATTTAAACTCTATGTTTGATATCTGTTACTTTGTTTACATTTTTCCTCTTTTGAGTCTCTGTCAATTCATTCCCAGGGGTGACCGGTTTGTTTGCTGGTGTCCTAGTGTTACTTTTACCTGAAACAAAGGGAGTGCCTTTACCAGATACCATCGAGGATGCAGAGAACATTAGACGGTAAGTAAAATTACACTTGCGCGAACATTGTGATATTCAGCCCTGGGTCATTCCAATGCCCATGATCAGTTCTGTGGGTACTGGTAATTGTTAATTACAGATGCTTCTTTAGCAGTTTCTGTTGAAGTACAGATAGACAGAATACTTCCAGAACTTTCCCTGAGCTGGTGTTCTCTTCTGCTTAGGTAGTCTCTTGGGATCAAAGATGTTGCTACTGTGATTCCATGGGTTTTGAAATGACTGATTTCCGCTAAGTAATTTGCTGAGCCTGTCACCTGCAGGGCAGTTATCTTATATTTCAAGTGAATACTGCTTCCTACACATTGAGATAATTGTTTGGCTATGGGTCACTGCACATATATTGTCCCTGAGTCAGCTTGCTCCCTATCACTAAGTAAACATATTCAATTTATTCTAACACTCTTTTATTCACACCAATACATAGTAAGTTCCCACATGCAATTCTCAAGTGAAATATCTAAGACGTCCCCCTGCACATGCTTGTTTTCTGGTGCCTCCACTCTTGATTTCAGAGTACCCCAATCAATTGAAATGGATAGGCAGAATACATCCAAAACATCTCATTATACCACATTTTAAATGGACCAGATGGAAGAGGTTTTTGGAGGTTTGTGTGCTGTCCGATACCTCAACTTCCCCTCTCTCCGTTCCCAACAATGTCTCTTTTGTTTGTGCCTTCATAAATCGTCCCTAGTATGGCAATCACAAGCCAAGGACTCCCATGAGTTGGTGGGGTTTTTGACCTCTTCAGGGATGTTTTGACATATTTCAAAACTGTTTCCTTTGTCCTGGGAGTTTCCTGAGTCCTGGGAGTTTCCTGACAGGTCAGAGCTGCCTTGTGAGTCTTCTGTCAAGCATACAAACAACTGGCCAGCAGAACTGATTTTGAGTGATTAGCACCTCTTTGCCAGGCATGTTGACTTGGGACAGGATCTTGCAGTTGGACCACCTTTCTTGTCAGCAGATTTGAATATTAAAACTTGAGACTAAGGTCGTAGATTATTGGGCTCATGATTCTCATGCTCCAATATGGTTCAGACACTTGGAATATCTACATCAATAACTCAAAGCACTGGCGAAGTTGCTTTTCAACTATTTACTTAATGCCCAATGTTTGAAAGTATTCAGGGCTAACATGCTTTCTGTTTATATTTTTTATTGGTTGTTCAATTGGTTTGTCAGTGTGCTTTTGTTCTCCATTTTATCCACCTTAACTCATCCACCTTTCTGTTCTGGGGTACATAATCTATAGAGGCAAGTAGCCCCTCAAGGACCTTATACTACAACTCATTTTGCATTGGTGAAATTTAAAAATGACAGTTTCTGAGCTATTTGAATGTAGGTGTACAAATCATAGTTAATGCCAGTTTTGTCCACAATCACAGTGTCTGGATAATAGTTGCTCTCCAAGATTGTTTCTCACCAGAAGTCCAGAGATGAAGAAAGCAATCCTAAAGATCCCATTGTTATTCTCATTCTTAAAAAAAAATCATTCGAAGAATATGGGTGCTGCTATCATGACTAGTATTTGATGTCTATCCCTAGCTGACTGAGAAGTTGGTGGTGAACCTTCTTCTTGAACTGTCGCGGTCTGCGTAGTTAAGTTACTTCTAAACAACTTTTAGGTAGGCAATTCCTGGATATGATCCAGCAAAGATGAAGGAATGTCAAAATGTATCCATTTCAGAATAGTGTCTATTGAGCACTGCTGTTTTCATAAGACTGTTTGCCCTTGACCTACTGGAGGAAACGATTTGAGAGATGCTTTTTAAGACAATCTGCCTAGTTGTTGAATTACATCTTGTTATGGTAAATCTTTCTGCTATGAGACACAACAAAAATGGTGGACGGTGTGAAAGTTACAATAATGGAAGGGGTTACAATCAATTTAATTGTTTTGTCCTGGGTGATCTTGAGCTTCTGGAGCGCTTTCACAACTGCACCAAGGCTTCCAAGTGGAGAATGCTTCATCATTTTAACAGTCAAGACGGGTTAATTCAGCTCATAATTAAATGGAAATAGACCAATTTCTCTGGAAAAGTTCTGGCAAATGATCTTAATGCTTTGACTTTGAACTTGTCCTGAAATTCAAGTAACAAAGGACAGGCCATTCAGAAACTTGAAAAGTCACCATGACCCAGTAAGGGTCATATTTCCAAGTTCATGTTTGTAACTGGCTTTGAACAATCAAATTTCTTGCTTTGATATCCTGTGAGATTGCAAATAAAGAAACTGAAATGGGTGACTGGGAAATAATTGTGCACTATAGCTACTTAATGACTAAGCTTTAATTCAGACTATACAAAGAAAACCAAGGTAATTATATTTCAAATTTGAAATGGCACTCCACTTATGGACTTAAACCTATTTAGGCAAGAATTGCTGACCGGCTTATCTAAATCTCAAAATTTCGGATATCACTTTGAAGACCCATCATTGATATAGACCTCACTGCATCCCTTGTCACTGTATTAGAACAGGAAGCCAATGCCACGAACATCACTGTTGTGCATCCATTGAATGATTGCCACTGAGTTGCTTATCCTACTTTTTGTGGCACATTGTAGGTGTAAAGACATCTATCATGCCAGTGGACACTGCATGCTCCCACTCAATGAACACCTGAGAGTGGACATAAGTGCAGAACACAGGCAGACTGTGTGAGGTACTATGATACCTTCCGTGGCCTGCTGCCTGGACATATTAATGGATACTTTGGCCCAGCCCTGGAGTAGGCCCCAGTCTTCTATCTAGCTTGCAAGGAGAAGAATACAACTGTAGAGAAGTATTGGAAGTTAGCTGGCAGAGGAACTGCATCCTGCAAATCCGTTGGATTGCAAATTTGTATGTGGCTAGGGCTAGGGCACTGAATGTATCCCGGTGTAAGTGCCAAGAAACAGGTCTAACCTTGACTTTCACTACAGATCCAAGCAAAACTGAGGAGGTCTGATGGCAATGTCTTGTGATCTGTCTGCCACTGGTAGGTAGGTACGCAGTAGATAGGGAGACCTAGCAACTTAAGTGGCCACAAACTATTGTATAACATTGTTCACCTACAGAATTATAGAATCCAGAAAAAAATTATGGATTCCTTAATCCCATCAAATTTGCTACGCTATGTAAGGAGGCTGCATTTGATTAAAGAAGGTATTTTCCGTTCTTCCAAGTGTCAAGACAGGGTCCTAGCCTGGGCAGTATTTCTCAAAGAGGACCTACTTCCATCATTAAGTCTACTTCCCCTTGCTCATCCCACCCCCACCCCCAACTTTCCACAGCTTGTACTCTACTTGCCTCATCAGTGCCTCACTAACCTGAGCAGAAACCCTTATGCAAGGTCAGGACTATGTATTTCTAGACTCCAGGCTAATGTTCAGTCTTGTGCTGGGTCAAGAGTTTTCAGTTTCAACATCCTTAGCATTGAAGAAAACAAATATTGAAAGGGAGAAAAGAAAATGGGATCCCTTAATGCTGAATGCTAAGAACATTGAGGTTCAAACTGGTATAAAGTAAATATTTGTTTGTTCCTTTAGGTGGAAGACAAGTGCTTTAAAGAGACACTATCAACAGATTGTTCAATATTCAACAGAAACTCATAATATGAAGGACACTGATGCAGTGAAGATTGCCCTCAGCTCATGAACTAGATTGCAGCATTAACCACAAATATTGGCCAGTTAGATTTATATTTCATGCTGTCTACTGTGTACTATGATATATTGTTATTATATGTTGTGCATAATTATATAGAATGTTATAACTATTATGATTCTATGATGAATTTAAAAACATAAATTTACTGTCACTCCACTTTCTCAAAAATACATTTTGACAATTGGTGTTGAAGTTGAATTTAAAACTGAAAATTTATGTTTGGATTACTTTTCTTTAATGAACATTACTGAAAATTTCACAATAATAATTATAAATTGGAGCCTCGAAAAGAATTTCATGAATATTTATAAATCGAGTCAGGCTTTATTAAATGCACAATCTATATAATATATAAATCTGAACATTTAGTAAGCGCCAGTGGACTATAAAAAGAAAACGCAAAAATGTTAAACGCAGGTAACTTAAGGTAGTATACAGTACTCAACTGCACGAACAACTTAAAGTACATTTTTCCTGAACCAATTTATTTCAACCGACTTTTATTTTTTTCAAGAATTCTTAAGAATAGGACAAACCCTGTCCCTTTCTCATTGACCATGTGGAGCAATCCAATCTAGTTACCTCAACAAGTTAATGTAAACAAAGAACTGCAGATGGTGGAGATCTGAAACAAAGAAAATGGAAATTGTTGGGGAATTTCGACAGGTGTGGCAGCATCAGTGAAAACAAAGTTATGTTTTGGTCACTGAAGGCAAAATGTTAACTCTGCGTTCACTCCACAGATGCTGCCAGGCCTGCTGAGTTTATCCATCAATTTGTGTTTTTTTTGTTTCACTTCATTAGGTTTTTTTCTTTCACTTGTGGAATATGGGTGTCACTGGCTGGCCAGCATTTATTGCTCGTCCCTAAATGCACTTGTAAAGGTGGTGGTGGGCTGCCTACTTGACCCACTGTAGTTTTTTGTTCTGTAGGTAGATCTACAATGCCAATAGGGAGGGAATTCTAGGTTTTTGACCTAATGACAGTGAAGTAACAGCATTATATTTCCAAATCAGGATGGTGAGTAGCTTCGAGGGCAACTTGCAGTTGGTGATGTTCCCATGCATTTGCTGCCCTTGTCTTTTTAGATGGAAGTGGTTGTGAGTTTAGACGATGCTGTCTAAGGACCTTTGGCCAATTTCTGCCGTATCTTGTAGTTAGTACACACTGCTACTATTGAGTGTCAATTGCATAGGGAGTGCTTGTGGATGTGTTTCCAATCAAGCAAACTGCTTTGTCCTGGATGGCATCAAGCTCCTTGAGTATTGTTGGAGCTGCATTCATCCAAGCAAGTGGATATATTCCAAAATATTCCTAACTTGTGCCTTTTAGATGGTGGACAGGCTTTGGAGAGTCAGGAGGTGAGTTACTTGCTGCAGTATTCCTAGCCTCTGATAAATTATTGTACCCACTGTATATGGCAAGTCCAGGTGAGTTTCTGGAAAATGGTAACCCCAAGATGTTGATAGTTGGGGATTCAGAGATGGTAATGTCATTGAATGTCAAGGGATTGTGGTTTTTTTGTTTCTTGTTGGAGATGGTCACTGCCTGGCATTTGTGTGATGTGAATGTTACTTGCCACTTGTCAGCCCAAGCCTTGATATTGTCCAGATATTGTTGCAATTGAAAATGGAGTGCTTCAGGAGTTGCAAGTAGTGCTGAACATTTTGCAATCTTTTGCAAACATCCATTTCAGACCTTATGATGGAGGCAATATCATTGATGAAGCAGCTGTAGGAATTCGGACTTAGCACACTACCCTGAGGAACTTCTGCAGAGATGTCCTGCAGCTGAGATGACTGACCTCCAAAAACTGCACCTATCTTCCTATGTGCCAGGTATGACTCCAACCAGCGGAGAGTTTGCCCCAGTTTCTATTCATAGAAATCATAGAATCTCTACAGTGTGGAAGCAGGCCATTCAGCCTATTGGGTCCACACCGACATACTCCCTACTCTATCCCAGTAACCCTTCATTTACCATGGATAATCCACTTAGCCCTGGACACTATGGGCAATTTAGCTTAGCCAATCCACCTAACATGTACATTTTTTTGGAGGACATCGGAGCACCTGGAGGAAAACCATTGATTCCAATTTTGCTAGGACTCCTTGATAACACAATTGGTCAAATGCAGCCTTGATGTCACGAGCTGTTACTCTCACCTCACCTCTGCAATTCAGCTGTTTTGTCCATATTTGAACCAAGGCTGTAATGAGATCAGCAGCTGACTGCCCCTGCCGGAACGCAAATTGGGCATCAGTGTGCAGGTTGTTACTAAGTAGATGCTGCTTGACAGCACTGTTGACGACACCTTTGTTCACTTTACTAGAGTTTACTCTGTGATAGAAAATACACTGATGAGGTGCTAATTAGCTGGTGTGGATTTGTCCTGCTTTTTTGTAAAGGTCATACCTGGGCAATTTTCCACATTGTGGGATAGGTACCAGTGGTGTAGTTGTACTGGAACAGCTTGGCTAGGGGAGCGGTGAGTTCTGGAGCACAAGTCTTCAGTACTGTTGCCAGAATGTTGTCAGGGTCCATAGCCTTTGCAGTATCCAGTGCCTCCAACCATTTCTTCATATCGTGTTAAGTGAATCAAATTGGCTAAAAACTGGTTTCTTCTAAGTGTTGTTCAACAAGGAGATGTGTTGATTCATCTGCCTAGGGAGGACAGGGACAAGACATATCCAGGGATGGTGATAGTGATGTCTGGGACATTGTATGCAAGATTTGATTCTGTAAGTATAACTATAACAGGCTGTTGTTTGTCTAGACTGTACAACATAATACCCATTAGGCTATGCAAGGTTTCTTGGTCCTTCTGGCTCTGCTTTATTGATTTTTAAAACAGTTGATGCAATTATATCTCCACAAGAATAGATTATTTTTAGACTAATTGTTCAATGAAAAGTTTGAGTAAGTGCTGTTGGGAGCTCCTTGAGAAAAACATTATCTCAGATAAAAGTAAGGTCAAGTCACCACAGTCCCAGAAGACCATAGGGCTGCTATCATTAGAAAGAGGCAAATGGTGGTGGTTTCAACACTGGGTACCACGTCTACAGCGAGGCTGAAAAAGAGGAACCTTCATGGTAATCTCAGCCTCAAAGTATTTACATCACGGTGCCTCTCAAAACCACCATCCAGCCAATAGAGCTACCCAAGCACCACACAACCCCCTGGTTGATAGGCTGGATTTGGAGCAATCAGGTCAGCTTGTGAAGCTGTTAAAAAAAGTGATCCAAAAGGAGAAAAAATGTACTTCCCTTTGATTGACTGCTGCATACTTCACAAACTCGAGGAGCCAGTCTTTACCGCTACCTGTACAGCAGCCCGCAGAAGAAGAGAACATCATGAAGCTAGGGCAAATTCAGTTTAAAGAACACATTTATCAAATTATGTCGCCAAATAAAATGACTACCGCACACGTCAATCACGCACTTCTTTTCTCACCTTTGTGTCACGAATAGGCTCTTACACATGGATGTGGGGGTGGGGGGGTGGGGTCAAGATGGCCACGCCTTTTCTTCAGGTCGCGTGACCATGTGCCCCAGGCTACGCAGGATCATTTGGTGAATAGCCTGCCAATCGGTATGAGCACTGTCCAAAGAAGCCAATCTGGTGCGTGAAGATTGGCACTTGGGTCGCCCAATAACCAGTGTCTCCCTGCACAATGGCAGTCATTGGCTGAGGAGTCTCCGCGTGCCTGATTGCTGAGTCCCACTTCTGTTGTGGAGTGTGGGCTTCTGGCTGCCGACTGCTGCCATGGAGCATGGAAACAGACCCTTCGATCCAACTCGTCCACGCTGACCAGGACGGATTTCTCTCTTCAGGCCTGGCTGTAGGCCTTGCAGACTCAGCTGGTGATTGTTCTTTCTGAGCAGGTTTCCATCACCCCACTTTCCACGTGAAGTCATGACAGATGGCAGGGACCCTGCTCGAGGTCGGCCTCTCCATTTCAAACTCTATTGGCTTTCACCTTGGCCTTTTCCCAGCTCTGCCATTGACAGACACCTTTGTATCCTCTTTGGCCACAGGTGGAGAATACCCAATGTTGTAAGAAGGGTAGCAGAGATAATCCTGGAAGTAACAGATCTGCGAGTCTCAAGTCAGTGGGAGGGAAATTATTGGAAAAGATTCTCAGGGAAAAGATCCAAATGTGTTTAGAAGTAAATGGACTTATTAGTGATAGACAGCATGGCTTTGTGCAGGGATGTTCATGCCTCTAACTCGTTCGAGTTTTTTGAAGAATTGAATATCCTTTATTGTCACATATATTCAAAATAAAATGTAGTGAAAATTGTGCACCGTTGATCGTACACAAGTGCCATTTACTGAATAAAATAAAGACAATAACTTAAAGAGAGAAGATAACTTAAAGATAACTTCTGAACAGATGATGAGGATGACTGATGAGGGAAAAGCCGTTGATGTTGTCTACATGAACTTCAGTAAAGCCTTTGACAAGGTCCCTCATGGCAGACTGGGACAAAAGGTGAAGTCTCATGGTATCAGAGGTGAGCTGGCAAGATGGATACAGAACTGGCCTAGTCATAGGAGACAGAAGGTAGCAGTGAAAGGATGCTTCTCAGAATAGAGGGCTGTGCCTAGCGGTGTTCCGCAGGGATCAGTGCTGGGACCTCTGCTGTTCACAGTCTAGGTAAATGATTTGGAAGAAAATGTAGCTGGTCTAATTAGTAAGTCTGTGGACAATACAAAGATTGGTAGAGTTGCTGATAGTGAGGAGGATTGTCAGAGGATACAGCAGGATATAGATCAGTTGGAGGCATGGGCAGAAAAATGGCAGATGGAGTTTAATCTAGACAAATGTGAGGTGATGCATTTTGGAAGGTCAAGTACAGGTGGAAATTATACAGTGAATGGGAGAACCCTAAGGAGTATTGATATGCAGAAGGATCTGGATATGCAGGTCCGCAGATCACTGAAGATGGCAGCGCAGGTAGATAAGGCAGTAAAAACGGCTTATGGCATGCTTAGCTTCATTGGAAGGGGCATTGAGTATAAGAATAGACAAGTTATGCTGCAACTTTATAGAAATTTAGTTAGACTCACACTTGGAATATTGGGTACAGTTCTGGGCACCACACTACCAGAAGGATATGGATGCTTTGGAGAGGGTAGAGAA